GACCCTTTTGCCCGACGTAGATTTACGTCAGTTATCAAGATCCGACGTAGATTTACAATAAAAACCTTTTCAATTTTAAAAAAAACGAGAAAATTTACGTCGCGTATACCATATGCGACGTAAATTTACGTCGCGTATACCATATGCGACGTAAATTTACGTCGCATATACCAATATGCGACGTAAATTTACTGTTTTTTTTTAAATTCGGTTTATTTATTCTGTTTTACAACTAAAACCTGCAAATAGTAATCCAGGCAGTCCGAGGTTCAGTTTTCTTTAGCTAGTAAATTAAAAATATAATATTATATAATTCAAACTACATAATAAAACAATATAATACAAACATACAAACTAAAAAATCTATTACAAACTAAGCTACCTATACAAACTAAGTTACCTATACAAACTAAGCTACCTATACAAACTAAGCTACCTATACAAACTAAACTAAACTACATAATACACACAATATAATATGAACAAGAACTTAAAAAATAATGTACTAGAATTGTTGAACAAAAAATTTTGCCCATTGTTCTCTAATTTACGTAATCTCGGATTCTCGTAATGGAGATGGATCTTGAAATACCGAAACATGAATTTGACTCTTGTAAGCATGCAACATGAATAAAGTTAAATAAACTTAACTAATGTTAAAAGTAATTACCTCCAGTCCAAGAATCAATTAAACCCGCACAAACTATGGCTCTCATCCAATACATTACATAATAACCACATTCAAACGAGTCAGTTTGCTTATTACACTGAAATGATGAAAAAAACATAATATTATTTTCAAAATTGAAATACAAACAATAATTATGGTATTCACTTATATAAATAAGTTTCTAACCTTAGGATAAATGAACTGCAAAGTCTTTGTTCTAGGTTTTCCACTTAGAACATTAGTTCCGAGACACGATTCTAAGTGAAAAAAAGTCATATATTATTTAATATGTATTCACAATTTAAAAACATAATTAATGAATAAAAGATAAACTTACCCTTGTAATAAGCTTTTCATTTCTTGACTCGGTTTCCGATGTAATGAACAAAACCACACGACAGTGTAATCCCGGGCATGATTACAATTAGCTGCCAATGGGACCTACATTGTATGACATAAAAATTAGTTACAAAAATATAAATTAAAATACAAATTAAAATACTAACCCTTCAATGTATGGAGCCAAATATATATGTCTTCTTGAGTCACTCATCCATGTTTGCATATATTGTTGGATTCCAACCTTTGTATTTCCAGATTTTTGGATGGATTGAGGCTCAATAAATCCGTACACTTCGGATTTTTCTTGTTCCACACTCAAATTGTCAAGGTACCTAAAACAATTAATTATAAGTTGAATATAATTATTATAATCTTAGAAACATAAATGAAAATGACTTACATTGCCCACAATTGTATGATGGAAATGTTTAACATGCAATTTCCCCGAGCAATTTCTAAAGCATCGGGCAAGGAAATGTACAATGGAACACTGGAATTGTCAATTCCAAACACTCTAACATCCCATTGTATCCGACACGGTCTCTTCCTCAACCGTGGTAATACGGCTAACAACATAGAGATGGGATCATCATCACATTACGTCGAGATCCTCATCAATAATAGGTTGTTTTTTATGCTTTGCACGACGCAAGTCCTCCTAAACAAATGATAACAATTAATTAAACATTTATATAATTATAATACTAGAAAAGAGTAAATAGACAATATGTATATATATATATATATATATATATATATATATATATATATATATATACCTTGGTCACGTGCTGATAGTGGCATAACCAAACGTCTTGGCCAAGCCAAGAATGTCCCGCTTGCACTGCCCCACTAATTGAATCTCTTCATTAGGAAAAGGCACTTGGAGCATTAGCATCATGAACTTCATCAACTACTACTCGTGTCCGATCCGGTCTGTAGAGGGACACCATGGATGGTTAAGCCACCCTCAAAAACTCGACCAACGACCACTAGACGCGGGGGTCATCTTCAACATATAACTCACACTTGGTGTGATGCATCGATCCGAGTATATTCTCCTGAAGGATCAACAGTAGTAGCATCACAACTCTCTTTAGTGCTGACTCGAACAATATCATGTTCAATTGTTTGAGGTGTTCCTTGAGTCTGTTGCTGAGAGCGGGCGAGAGATTCAATTTTCTCATCAAACTCTTGCTGCAAGGACTGCCTTATTTGATTTAACTTTTCTTCAAACTGCATCTCCATTTTATGCAAGGCCTCCTGGCTGCAAGAGTCAGCAGTGGTCCTTCGTGATGTTGGACCAAAGTAATCACGAAGGCCCCAGGTTCCACCAGCACCACACAATATTAATATTTTTCACTTGTTCATATACTTGTTCACCATTGCGTGGTACTGATGCAACTGCATTCTCCTGACATCCATTAAATGTTTTTTTCATTTTACGATATGGATGATTAGCAACTAGAAACTTTCTATGCCTATTGTACGCAGTTTTTTGTCCATGTTTCAATTGGATATAACTTGTGTCTTCTTGACATATAGGACACGCTAAATGACCTTTCACACTATAACCGCTCAAATTACCATATGCTGGAAAATCATTTATAGTACAAAATAACATTGCACGCAACCTGAAATTCACTTCGTGATATGAATCAAATACATCCACTCCTGTTTCCCACAACATTTTCAAATCATCAATTAAAGGACTAAGATATACATCTATGTCATTTCCTGGTTGTCGAGGTCCTGAAATCATCATAGATAACATCATATATTTTCTCTTCATGCATAACCAAGGAGGCAAATTGTAAATGATCAACATAACTGGCCATGAACTATGTTTACTACTTAAATTTCCATAAGGATTCATCCCATCTGTAGCTAATCCAATTCTCAAGTTTCTTGGCTCTGCACCAAATTCGGAAAGGTTTCATCAATCCTTTTCCATTGTGGAGAATCACTTGGATGTCGAAGAAGATTGTCACATTTTCTACCATTTGCATGCCATGTCAAGTTTCTTGCATCTTCTTTTATGGCAAATAATCTTTTAAACATAGGTATAATTGGCAAATACCATAACACCTTAGCAGGGAGACCATCTACTTCTTCCTCACCACTACTTTCCTCAACTTTGTTTTTGAACCTCGACAAACCACATGTCGGACACATCTTTAATTTAGCAAAATCCTTTACGTACAATATACAATCATTAGGACATGCATGTATTTTCTTGTACTCTAAACCCATTGGACATAATATCTTCTTTGCCTCATAGTTACGAATAGGTAATGTATTATCTTCAGGAAGCATCTCCTTCAACAACTCCAATAATTCGGTGAAACTTTTATCGGTCCATCCATTTCTTGCTTTTAAAGTAAACAATTTTAAAGTTGCTGATAATCTTGTAAAACTACATCCTATGTACAATTGTTGCGCAAAATCAGATTTCAAAGAATCATATAGATGTGCTTTCATAAAATTTTCTTCACCAATATCACGTATCATATCCTCTAGATTATCATCCATCCCTTCATCAAAATTGTCACGTAGTTGACACGGTTGGGATGTCTAATATTTCTCCATGCCATGTCCATATTGTATAACTCTTAATAATACCATAAACAAACAAGTGATCACGTATATCCTCTAGTTTATGACGAATTTGATTCAAACAACGAACACATGGACAATAATATGTCCCTTTCATAGCTTTTCCATTCTCACTAGCATATTTCAAAAATTCCTCAACTCCCTTTTCGTATTCTTCACTAATACGACGTGCATTCATCCAACTTCGATTCATATTATGTTATAAAGTTTCGTCACTCCTAAAGATTTACAAATTATATGTAAAAAAAATTAATATACAAACAACAAATCACGTTCCAACAACAATGGAGTGTGTAAACCGAATGCACTCAAACAAATAAACAAATAATTACATTCCAATAACAATGCAGTGGAGACATTCATACTATAACGTGATTGAGATCCCCCAAAACAATCACGGGACATAGAACACTAACCTCGAGTGTAGACGAAAACTGATTTCAAACTCGATTCCAATCGGGCAGAAAGATCAAGTTCGTCAAATGACACGATAATGTAGATGTTTTTCACTGTAAAACTGCTCGAAAATGGTGCGCAGAGGTAGCTGTTGTCGTCGTTCTCGTCGTCGTTCTCAAAAACCCTGGTTGCGCGAGACAAGGAAGTGGGTCTGGAGGGAAATAAAATAGACTTTTTACGTCGCGCATCCCAGCACGCGACGTAAAAAGCCATCTTTACGTCGCACCTGGGAGGCGCGACGTAAAGATGGCCTTTTACGTCGCGCCTCCCAGGTGCGACGTAAAAGAGGCTTTTACGTCGCATACTGGGATGTGCGACGTAAAATTTTTGTCCCATATTTATAAAATTGCCACCGCGTTTTATTTACGTCGAATATACATGCATGCGACGACAATTGGGTGACGTAAAAGCCCTATTCTGCACTAGTGCTTACTCAACAAGCTCGCGACTATAATAGAAGAAAGAGACAGTAAGCTCTCTGCTCTATTTGCTTGCAATTTGTTTACCTATCAAAGTTGGCGAACACTTTTGTAACCTTAGACTTGTTACGTTGTTCGCCCACTTAAAAACTAGTTGGCTCCGCGTCCATCGAAAGTTGATAACCTTCATCAGCATTTGGTACTCTCACGATAGCTTCAATAGTTCACTGAAATCCTTTGGTGTAATGAACCACAAGCCCTTAAGAAAGAAAAAAAAGGCTTGGTTGCAAGAACCAATAGTGACAAAGGTAACCGAGCCAATGTGGCCAATTACCGAGAACCGCAAGGTTGCATGGTTCCTGGGAAATGACCTTCTCTTTGTTTTTAAAGTAGGCCTTTTGATAAATAATAAGAGTTGACATGAAATGGATCACGGAAGAAGACATATATAATGAATGAATGAATGATTCAATTCCCTTTAACCCACACACGTTCTTTTATGGAAGGGGTTCCCCTTCTTCTATGTGAGGTGGGGCGTACATAAGAGTGGAACCGAGATAGAACGCGGAGCACCGGCCCCAGCCGCTAATACAGCTACCATGCTTACCAGCTCTTACCATTGCCACCTATAGATATAGATGGAAAGTAGCTTGCTTCTCTTCTCTTAGGCAGCTACCTGCACATGTTATTTGCGAAGAAAAGGCAGCGAGCGGTTCTTTGCTTAGTAGAGCTACTAGTCGCCAGTTACTTTTTGAGGGGCTCCGTAGGATAAAAAGAAGGTCCCCCTTACTCTTCTCTCTTAAAGCTTTCTAAAGCTCGACAAGAAAGGGTTGGTTAAGAACTTGAAATTGTGTAAACCATAGCAGTTAGAGTCACTCAATGGAAATGTTTGCCTTTGGAATGAAGATGGATGAGCAGAGGTTTGATCTCAACCCAAACAACGGCTAACGAGCCCCTATCAGAGAAAGCCTTGGTAAAGTAAAGTCAAGTGCGTTAGCTCTTTTAATTTAAGACGTGCATCCTCTTTCTTATTGGGAGAGGAAAGCCTAGAACTGATGAAATTGGGGGAAACATGGAATCCGTCACTATACTGTGGGGACGAGACATGACCGCAACTTAAGATTCAAGTACCGTTGAAAAGACTAAAGGAACGAGGGAATGACTACCTGTAATAAAACACAGGTTAATACAAGCCAACCATAACTTAGATTACCAGATCCTGGACACAATCTTCCTAGAGATGGAGATCCCCTTCCCCTGCCTTTTCTAGACTCTCCTTCTTGCTTACCTAGCTCTTGTCTTAGTGACTCTTCTTCTTTTCTAGGTTTTTTTTTCTAAGAAAATAAAACAATCGATTTTTCATTTACCGATGAATTGGATCTGCCCCAAATTCGATCAATAATGGGATTCTTGGCTAGAAGAAAGGTCTTGTGACATGAACGCCCAACATTTAATATCGTCTTTATCCTTCGAGCATATTTTATTTTGAAGAACAAATTTTAAAACATTTGAAGTAAACATTGAAGATTACTTTTTCACACACACACAAAAAAAAAAAAAAAAAAATATATATATATATATATATATATATATATATATATACACACACACACACTTAAGCAGTAGTGTGTCTTCGTAGGTCCAAATTCAACCACATTGATCCCATATTTCTATAATTCGCCCTCGTAGGTTTCCGGTCCTCTTTGATCGATCGTATTTGACAATAGAATGAGACTTTCATTTATGTTAGTCTTGTTATAAAAGTCCTAGTTCATTAAACTGTAATATTATCATTTTCTTTTCAACAAAAACAAATTTAAATTTTAACAATTTTTTTATTTTTATTTTTTTTAATTAATTGTTTTGATACATATACATTAATAAATAAAAAATTCAATCAAACCAATTTTGATTTATTAGCTCATTGACCTATTACAGGAGTAAAATATATTATAAATTATAATAAATTTTAAAATATAGATTAGACTGAACTAAAACCGACTATTTTTACAATTTCATTGTTCATAACTCGTGACTCAATCATTCTTCATCCAAATATAAGTATATGAGAAAACTCTCGTCGAGCAAAGAAGAGTTAGTAAAGTATAAAGAAGCATAACTATTGTGTTTTGGTTGTGAAAGAGGGAGTGAATCATTAACTAAAGCAACTATTACACTTTCAAGTAGGCTCAATTAACAATAACTTGATAAATACTTTTTCTAAAAATTGTTAGTATCATTTTGTACAGTAATATTTGTTAGCTTTAGACGAGAATGTAAAATAAATTGATGATCGATTATATGAAAAAAATAAGTTATTTTGTCTTTTATGATAATCTTAAACAATAACGTGAATCATTTATGAGAGGAATTTTTATTGTTTTTATATTATATACGAATTATTCGTTTATATAATATAGAATCAAATTATGTATTTGGACGAAATATGGGGTAAGATTAATTTACCATTATATATCCATGTGTTTAATATGACATTAGGGTTTTAATATTTGTAAAAAAAGAAAAATATAGAATGCGATTAACGTTTAATCTGCTATTAGTCTTTGAAGATTTTTTTAATTAAATATGTGACATTATTGATGTTTATATAGATATAATACGTGTATACTACCATCCTATATTAAGTTTTGATTTTATTATGTTGTCGTACGTTTTGAACTTTTATTAGAATTAAGTTTTTATAAGGGCATGAGGCAATTAACTAACTTTAGTAAAAGCAGATTCATGAATTTACCACGTGGATGATTGATTGTGTCCAATAATATGGAATTAGAGAATATGAAAAAAAAGAAAAAAAAAAGAAAAAAAAAGAAAAGATAAAAGAATATAAAACATTTTATAAACTTTTTATTTAATATTTTTAATTGTTTGAAGAAAATTAAGTGGACTAAAAAACTATATAATATTTTGTCTTTATTCATATAAATTTAATGGATCATTAAATTTAAATATCAAAAAATTTATAAGGATCAAAATTATAATTATACAAATAATTTAAGAAAATTTTAAGGAGTCATGATTCTTGCCATATGATGATCCTTCATGGATTTCCATTTATTGATCACTGCATATGAAGTTGATGAAGCAAGAAATGGAAACATGGTGGATGAAAATAAAGTGTTTAAAAAATAAATGGTACGAAGTCCATGATTTGTTTAGTGGATGAAGTATATTTGCTTAGAGTAAAGGAAAAAAAAAAAGGTTTGAGACGGAGAATGAATTGTGGGAGGACTTGATCAAGGTATTAAAACCACGCTATAACATTTTTAACAATAAATAAATTGGTGATATGGCTAAATAATAAAATTGGGTATTATGATCTATTAAAAGAATTATACTTGGTATGATTTAAATATTTGTTACACTATTTTATATATTATTAATTAATTTTATATTGAAACTTTTAACATAGAATTAGAATTAAATTCTTACTTGTTTTCAATTATTTTTTTATTAAAAATTGTTTTTTGTTATTGTGGTCAAACATATCTTTATTGTTGTCTTTTTATTAAAAATTGTCCTTAAATCACTACAAGAAAATCGCGTATTCATGACGGATTTAAATCCGTCGGTAAATAATTATTATCGATGGAAATTACCAACGGATATATCCGATCGATAAATCCGTCGGTAATTTACAGATGAATTTACCGACGGATATATCCGTCGGTAAATCCGTCGGTAAATTCATCCGTAAATTACAGACGGCTAATTAACAATTAGTAAATATTCACCTAATTAAAAAATTAAATATTTTTTATTTAATAATTTAATTTAATCATAATTAGATTAATTTATAATAATTTCTTAAATTAAATAATTTTAAAAAATAAATATTTAATTATATATAAATATATAAAAATATATAAAAATATTTAATTATATATAAATATATATATAAATATATAAAATATAATTATATAAATATAAATATATAAATATAAAAATATATAAATATAAAAATATATAAATATATAAATATATAAATATATAAATATATAAATATATAAATATATAAATATATAAATATATTTGTATATAAATATAATTTATTTGTAAATTATTATCAAAAAATTTTGGTAGCTTAGTGTTTGGAGTATCCGCCTCTAACTTTAAGGTACTGGGTTCGAATCCTGCTAATAACAATTCTCTTAATCTAATAATAAAAATGGATATTTTGATTGTCGGTAATATTAAAATTTCTTGTAGTGGATATTGACTATTCCAATGGACAAATGAGAGGACAAGACCATAAAGGATAAACCATAAATTTTAGGTGTTGATATAAATTATGTTTAGGAATGGATTCATAATGTTGGAGAATATCTTTATCTAATGATTTTAATGGACCTTCTTCATTAGAGGGTAAAAAGGAAAGTCTCTAAGGTTAATCTGATCATGTCCAGTTTAACAAGTTAACAACAAGGTTAGATAAGGTTGTTAATGCCTTGGTGCAAGAAATATTCATAAGTCTTGAGTACCTAAGTCTGGGCAATTGAAAAGTGCAAATGAATGAGCAAGTGTCACCAATGAGAGAAAGTTAAATTCTGCAATATTCATAATATTTGAGATATGTTAGTCTAGCTAAATTTGTAAGATGAACATCTAATATTACAATATTATGATTATTTACCCAATAATCCTGCGCAAATGCGTAAGCTTTTTGACATCCCATCTTATTTATACTTTAACTAACCATTTGTTGAAGCTTATGACAATTGTGTTTTTTTTTTTTTTTTTTATGTAATTTTATTCTATGAATGACATTAGATTATATAATTTTATTTTATGAATGACCTTGGTTTAGTCATTTTCTTTTATGACTAACATTGGTTTAAGTGATTTTATATAATAATTAGTGTATACGATTTTATATGGTAATTGATTTATGTAATTTTATATAATAATTGATGTATATAGTTTTCATGTTTGAACATGTTTGATATATAAAAATTACATTAATTAGGAATATTTTGAGGTTTTAGGTCATGTCGTTCTCTTGGTTAAAAGCAAAATGAAAAGAGATGTCATGCAAAAAAGATAAAAGACAATACAAGATGAAAAACTAACTCCTCTAGCAAACATTTCTCCTTTGGAGTATTTCTTAAACCAAAATTGATATTTTAGTACTGACCATTAGATGACAAAATATTTTGGTGATTTTTCAAGCAAACAGTTGTCCAACCAAAGGTAATAATGACCTTCAATTTTTGTACTATGACTGGATTTCACATTCCTTAGTACTTGGCTTTTCAAGATTTTGATAAATTTTGTATCAGACGAAGGCTTATCATTAAGATCTAGTAAGGTGTTTTATGCAAATTTGGAACTGATTAAGAGTGAAGATTTTGTAAGTGAGATTAACAAGAGGAAAATTGAGATAAAATCTAATAATCGAGTGATCATGTGACAAATTTAAAATATTAACACCATAAACTTAGTAGTTTTGACAACCTTAAAAAGTTTAATTATAATACAAATATGATTATACTATATAATTATAAGCACACACTTCTAAAAATGTAGGTGTTTAAATGTTGAAGACTAACTTTTGCATAATATATATGTTCATACTCTAAGCCTCGAGGTAATAATACATGCAACTAATGCAAACAAATATTTTCATGATTTGATGTATCGAACATAATATTCTTATTAATTCACCTCATTATATCATATAACACATGAAAAAAAATATGTAAGAATTATAAGTTAGGGTTGTATTATAGTATTTTAATTACTCTTATTCTTCAATTAAAAGATTTTACTTGCTTATCTAGACTAGTCTAGATGATCAAATTGATTTTATTAAAGATCTATGATAAAATAGAATATAATAAATACTAATGATGCATAGGGGTAACCATGTCCATCCAGGGACACGAGGAAGAAAATCTTAAAAAGAGACGTGACCGTGTTGGTGTTATAAGGTAACACAAACAAAATATTGATTGATTCACATACTTCAATAAATTTAAAACATTTTAACTATAGTCATGATTAAGACTTTTTTTCATAAATAATATTATTTTTAAAAGTATTTTCTAAAATAGTACTTCTGAAACATTATTTACACAAATAACACTCTTTACTGTTCACGTATTAAAATAATCGATTATTTTATATTATGATCGATTATTTCGCACAAGATCAACTCTCGTTTAAGCTAAGAAACCCTTCGCTTGAGCGAGGAGATCTATAACAAAGGGGTAATCTCGGGTCAATTCTCGCTCAAGCGACGGGTACTTTCGCTTGAGCGAGAAGTGATTAAAATATGTGGTGACCTAAGTTGCG